AAAATTTAAGTAGGTAGCTATAGTACATAAGGGCCAAAAAAGACCGCTAGAGACAACCTCATCGCTATCGCATGTCTCCGGGCCTGAAATTTTAAATTATTTATCTCTTTACTTAACAGCAATGGAAACTGCTGTTAAGTTTTGCTATGTCGAAAAACGTGTGTAATTAATAGTTATGGATATTTTAAATTTTCCAAGTCTCGTATTAAGTATCTAGTTTGCTAAAACTTGCTGAATGCTCTGTTTAAGTGGGAATCGGAGAAAATAATCTGAATAGCATTTATGGGGACGTAAATGAGGCCAAGCACACATTTTGGGATTGTGTTGCCGTAATGGACAGCTGTGTTTGTGTCCTCGCCGAGTGGTTCGTGTTTAATACTTCACCTGGTTAAATGTTCCTTAGGCTCGTCGACTAGTGTCAAAATAAATTTTCGGCCACATAGTCTAGAGGCTTGAGGAGATGGGCTTGCTACTGGAACTGTGTTTTCTTACCTTGGGTTTGGCAAATCGAATGAGTCAAGTAGTTGTTCTAGTGATAAGTTTGGGCTTGGATTTGTCACGTCCATACGTTAAGTGTTTTCAACTGATTGGCACGGCTCACCCAAATGTCTTAGCCAATCCAAATCTCGTAGACGACGTCCTCACACTTTCGCTAAACACGTCCAGGCACCTACTTTTCCTGATTTGTCCTATACTTCCCTGCCAGTACCGTATCGTGCAGATGGAACAATCATTGTTTTGCCCAATGACATCGACTAAATAGCCCTTACGCTGACGTACGATGGGCTGATTCATCAACAACCGCGAAAAATGGCAGTTGACGCATAACGTCAAATAATGTGCTGGGCTTTCTCTGCATCAAATCTTCTGTAGGGTAGACACCGGTTGGATTGTTAGGGTTTGCTCCATAGTTCAGCAAAATTATTTCGAGAACTTCTTCCGTCGTCCCTTCCCCTTCTGACTTCTGGAGAGCCCACCTAAATGCGTCAACAAATCGCTCTACTTGTCAGTTGGACTGTAGGTGATATGGCGGCACATAGTTTATGTTTGACCACTTGCAGAATTGGGGAAACGTTTCGGGACAACCGAATCTGTTGAACAGTCGCCGGAGAGTGTTTATTTTTCCTTCGGCTGCCGTGCGTTTCATGAGGGTTACTTCTGGCCATTTGCTTTATGCGTCAATTGTGATAAGAAAACTGGCCACAGAGCGGTCTAGTATGACCGATGTGGACTCTGGACCAAGGGACTTGTGGAAAGGGCCGTGCATTGTGTGTGGTCTCCGCTGGCGCCCTTGACGCGAGAGCGCATTTGATGCATGAATGGGCCAGCTGTTCCAACTGTTGGTCCATTTGAGGCCATTACACATACCTGTTGCAATTCTCCATAAGTGTTTGTGGGCCACTGATTGCGATGACACTTGATGACTTGTCTCAAGAGTGAGTCCTGTTGGTTAGCATTTCGGACTTCTTCAAATGTGACAGAGGTTGCATGGATGGAATTTATAAATAGACTTTGAACCTCGGACTTGATGGCTGTATACTCAGGCTCCTTAGTCCGTGAGTTGACAAAGCGTGAAATTGCGTCTTCTTGACCGATGTTCATTATAGACTGGTACCTGATATCGATGTCGTATCTCAGCAGCATGGTTGCCCAGCGCTAAATGCAATTTACCGAGTACACAGGAATGTCTTTTCCGAGCCAAAAACAGCAAGAACAGGCTTGTGTTCCGTGCAAAGGGTGAAGTGACATCCATAAAGCCTCTTGTGAAACCTCTTCATGGCGAAGATGATAGCCAGGGCTTCCTTATCCATCTGTTCGTAGTTGCCCTCCACAGACTTTAGTGATCTTGCTACATGATAGCTGGCCTTATCTGTGTTATCGGGGAAAGCGCGTGAAAT